TGGCGCGTGCTGGAAGCTCAGGGCGATGGTGCGTGCTGGGAAGCTGAAGGAGGGAGCGCGTGTTGGGGAGCTGAAGGAGGGGGCGGGTGTTGGGGAACTCAAGGTGGTGACGCCTGGCGCGTGCTGGGGTGCTCAAGGGTAGTGTGACCGAGCTCGAGCTCTGAAGAGTACAGTTTAATTCGTGCTGAAGCGGCGTTCTTTACGTTTCTATTATCTGGTCGGCCGCGAATCAAGACAAAACGCGCTGGTAGTAATATGGGTGTTAATAGTGAGTGCTAAACCAATTTGTTCATGAAACACATTTGTAGAAGAAATGGAGATTGTATTTTTGGGAGCTTAAGTGCTTAGCAATGAAATTAGTACTGCCTTCAACCGGTAGTGCGTGATTTTGACGTCGTAGGCTGTCTGAAGCGTGGCCGCTTCCCCCGGTTGCCCGGGCTCTCACGGAACGTTGGTCGTTGGGCGGTGTTTCGACCTGTCTCCGATCTGTCCGTCCGTTGGCCGGCATCTCTGACATTGTCCACGTGCCCGGCCCCCCGGCGTGTGGGGCGCAGGCGTGCCGGCTCGGCCTCGCGTGTCGTGTCGTGTGTGCCGAGCAGGCCGTGGCCGCCGGGGTCTGGTGCCGCGGCAGCCGGTGCGACCGTCTTCCGCGTGGCTCGGCTCCTGCCCCCCCCCCCCCCTCCCCGCGCGGCTCAAACGCCACATGCCCGGCCCGGGCCCGGCTGGGAGGTCAGGCGGTGGCGCCCGGCTCGGCTCCCTGCCCCGCCCCGCCCCGCCCCGCCCCGCCCGGCTCCGCTGCCCCTGGCCGGTTGGACCGGGGCGCCGACAGTCCACGGCCGATTAGACGTGATAGGAGGCGGTCGGGTGCCCGGCTGGGCCCCGCGTCACCGTCAGCGGCAGGGCTGCCGCGATCGCCGCCCTCAGGCCAGCTCCGACGCGTCTGTCGGGACGAATGCGGTCTGTCAGCAGGGCGAAGGTCGTCAGACGGCTGTGAGGCGGGAGTCCAGTCGCGTTCTCTGTTTCGAGGCCGTCTATACGTTGTGAAGGACAGTAGTGCGATTGGAAACAATTCACAGTGCGGCGCTCTGTTCAACTTATTAGTTAGTTTAGTTAGATAGTGCGTATAGGTGCTCTTTGAATTCGACTACTTTGAGCCTCACACCCCTGCCGCTGTCTTGCTGACGACGATAGGGGGCGAAGGGGGGAGGGGACAGATGGAGATGACTGGTCATCTCGATGCCTGATGACCGATGATTTCGATATGGTGACTGATGATCTCCATTTCGACGACCGATTATCTCGATCTCGGTGACCGAGGATGGGAGGACTGGTATTGAGGCTGTCGCTTCGAATTCCAGAGAAACCAGTGCTGATGGACCCGGCCGATGACGGTCCAGCTAGACAACTGGTCAGCAGGAAAGAAGGGGACCGACCTGGCACCGGGCATTGCCATGACGTGCGCGCAGAGCAGGACACGAAAAATCCTCCCCGAATTTGCCTGGGAAAACGACCCGTGGGGTGGAGATAGCCCTTGGAACAACGTGACGGTACCTTGAGTACGCGGCAAGTATAGGCCTGGCAAGGCCTATGCCATTTTGACCAAAAGGGTGGAAACAGATCTTTTTATATTGAAGTAGCCGGTTGTGACGAACGATGAACAAGGCTGGCCGTTACTGGCAGTTGCTGGTACAGGGTGACAGATAGCGTTGCTCCGTCCCCTCCCGCTGACCAGCGTCACGGTCCACGCAGCGGCGCTAGGCGAGTGATGAGGTATCTCGCCTGCCAAGGGCGCTGAGATCGGAGGATCGGCCCCGCTGCCGTGGCCACGCCGTGAGGTAGACTTGCGAGCGCGGTGATTGTCGGCCCGCCGGCACCTCTGTTTGTTTTGCGCAGCAGCGTGCCAGCTTGGGAAATGGCCCGGCATTGAAGGCGGTCTGCTAACTGAGCCGGAAACGTGGGATCATTCTGTGTGCGTTGAAAACATTGGTGGCGTGTGCTGTTGTGCAACGTAGACCAGGGCCTAACATAATGCGTAAGTTGGGGTCCGACTTCTTTAATTCAAGTCGGCAATGATGTTTGTTTGATGACACGGATTATGACGAAAGGGAAAAGAGTGAGCACCTTTATGATTGGTGTTCAATGTAATTGCAAATAAGTAGTAGTTGGAATCTGGTTGCTCACACCGCCGCGTTGCCAGTTCCCGGCCGCCGGAGGGTCCCCCGGTGTCTGCTGTCGTGGTCGGCCGGCTGCCGCTGGGCCCGGCAGCTGCGCGCTGGCGTGGCGGGCGGCACGCCCCCTGGACGCGGACTCCGGAGCGCCGGCACCCGGCCGAGGGGTGCTGACTGGTGACCGGTCGGGCGGTCCCGTCACTGGACGCGGCCGCCAGACGCCGGCGGGCCGGCCGTGCCGCCGGCGCCGGTCACGGCCACGGCTGGTCAGCGCCCGTAGCTGAGCACGACACGGCGGCCGCACGCGCGCGCGTGGGCCCACCAGCCAACTGGCTGGTACGGTGCTGGTATGGGCTGCCCGTCGACGTGACTTTCGATGATGATCTGGTTGTCGTCATGCGGGAGGGCTTGTCGAGCCTCGCATGCTGTGTGATTATACTCAATTTGGTGAGCATGCCATCATCAGTCGCCCACCCTTTACACTGCAGTGGCGTCGTGAGAGACTGTTTTTAGTGGGGCTCACTCTCGTTAAGTGCGAGGTTGGGAACCAAGTGATCATAAAGAAACGATTCTGACTGAGGCTAACCCTGTTATGGCGGCTCCGGTGATCATACACGGGCCTGTGCGTTTGCCCTCCTCCCGGCGCATGGGAATCTGTAACCGGCATCGATTTTGGAAAAATAGCTCTGTTTATTTAAGCCTGGGAACTTGTCGCACTCGTGCGGTGGACGTTGATCTGAGCGCCTATGGCCACACGGCCTCGGCGCGCTGCCACATGAGCACACCACTGGTGGAGGCGGCTCGGCATCGGACCCGGCCGTGCCGGTGGGCGGGGCGCGGCGGCACCCGGACCGGGCCGGCCGCGTGCGCGGCACGTGCAGACCGGCGGCCGAACCGTTGCCGGGGCGACACGGCGGCGGCGGCGCGCCTGTTTATTCGGGTGACATCTCGCACCGTCTCCGTCGGTGACGGTCACGGTACACGTCGGTCTCCGTGCCGGCCGCCGGTCAGGTCCCGTCGTCCTGTTACTGGGGCAGGGCAGGGTGTGACGTCCGCCCCCCCGGCCGGTGGCGGCTCCGGACGTGCACGAGGGAGGACGCCGAAAACATGTATGCCAGGCTTGTCGGTGTCTCTTGAGTTTGAGGGTATGTTCAGAAACGCTTGCTCAGGAGTGGCGGAAGGTTTTGTGACATCCCTTCCATCCGACACACCGCCGCCTGGCTGACGTTTGTGTGCGGCCGGCGGTGGGTGGCGGGTGGCCGCGTGGTCCCGATGGACGGTCCGGAGTCCGGACGGCGGCCGGCCTGCGCAGTGTCGGCCAGGACGCTGACCCACCACCCGGCGGCCGCTCAGGACAGGCTCGCGTGATCGCTCCCGGCCACACACGAGCAGATTAAACGCTGGCTGCCGGCTGGGCGCTCCATGGGCGTACCTTCTGTACAGTGCAGTGGTACGCTGAGGACTGGGGAATGTTAGGCTGTGCCTTCCGTCGGCGATTTTGTTTTTCGAGGTCTGGAAGATATACTACAGATGCACACCGTCGGTCCATTGCACTCACCTTTGTTCCTGTGAGAGATCGGGGAATATTTACGTTCGTGGCTTTCACGCGCGTATACCATGATTGGGCTCAGATGGCAAATTGGGGCTTGAGAACGCGCCGACTGCCCAGGCCGTATGACGCCCATTGATCTGGTTCGGAAATGAGTGTTTGATTGGTGTTGCGTCGTAATCGGGTATTTTTTTATTTGGTTCTGTGAGAGACTTATGTGGATATAGGGAGAACTTGTATTCCCTGGTAACCACTTACGTAATTTAAGGTTCCATTGCAGGCTTTTAAGAATTCACCATTTTATCACATCGTTCGTTGATCTGCAACATTCTCATTCTATCTGTCGCATTACCATCTAGCAGAAACACAAAGCCAGTGGTTTTTGCAAACGTGATTTTGCGCACGGTGTTGTGAAAGAATGTGCCTCAGCTGTGTGCGGATAGCTGAGGTGGTTAGAGCGCCTGCCTTCCAATCCACCCGCCCGTGGCCGTGTGGGCTATAGTAGCTTTGGATTGTCTATTTGTTTAGATTGGAGCCCTTTCGACCGGCAATGATAATGTCATGGCTGTGGGATGACGGAGAATGAATACCGATGGGGCAGAACTAAATGCGCCGGGGGTCGGGGGGGGGAGGGGTCAGCCACTGAGCCTCAGCCCGCGCAGGAACCCTTCAGCGTGGTGTGCGTTGAGTGCCCGGTCGAGGTCCCCCTCTAGGTGGCCTCTCGACGCACTTGTAACTGATGAATGCAGCCTGCCTCGAACAGGCGGGGTGTCGCGAGAATGCTGGTTGAAGCGAGACAGGGAATAGTAAGAGGGTCGGATAGCTCCACTGGCTTTAGGCGCTTGCTATTTATGGTTGGCAGGTATGTCCTGTGGCCCGTCGCAGCGGATGCGCTGAAGGCGAGGTGACGTCAGAGGGCAAGCCGGGCCGTGCCGAGCGTTGCGGTACGCGGAACTTTCGCCACCAACTTGTGCCGTTGATTGGAATTGCGCGTTCGGTTGGAGCGGGCCAGGGCTTCCGTAACAAGTGCTGCTTAGCTTGAAGTCCGGTTCCAGAAATCCATACACTCAAAATGTTGGATAAATGGTGGATGGATATGTTTTTAAATGTTGGATGGATAAATCTTTAAAAAGCCGGGCAAAAAAACCTGGTGTTGTAGGTTCATGGTCATGTTTTATTGTATTTTTACCTGTCCCCCGGCTTGATTGTCGTTTTTCGTTTGTTATGGATGGTGACTGCGGCAGAAGTGTCACGGAGTTGCTTACGCGGTCTCTCTTTCCCAGTCCTGGAACTTGCTGACGCGAACTCAGCAGAAGTACGAGTTCATCAGCTGGCGCCTGACGCTGCTATGGTTCGTGGGCTTCTTTTTCCGGTACTGCTTCCTCCTGCCCGTCCGAATCACCATCTTCTTCACTTCGGTAAGCACCGCCTGGTCACCTATGTGGAACGATCCCATTTTAGGATTGATAGCCTTTTTGCGTGCGGGGACGGCAGTGGGATGGATGTCTTTAAGCTAAGATGTTCTCTTTCGTGTGTTGTATCTATTCGTTGTGTTTTGTTGTAATTGCAAGCGCCTAATTGTGGAATGTTTGCCTTTTCGCAGATTTTTGAAGGTTCAAGAGAGTTTTATGTTTTGATGTTTATTTTGCCCATTTATTGCTGTAAGTGGACTTCTGCGTTGTTTTGTAACATTTGCCTTGTCGTGTTTCGCCTTGCAGGGCGCGAAATTATGCTAATTCTTGATATATTTGTACGCACCATGCATATATCTCTTCCATTATCTGTCTTGTTCGACGCATGCTTGTCTATCATGATATTGTACTCGGAACATGTCGGTGATTGGTGCCTGGATCGCGTCGTTCTGTCGGTCTTCTCCGTTTGGCGGGTGCTGAGAGCGGCGCCGGACAAAGCCGACCTTGACCAGTGGCTTGCAGCTCGCTGCCCGTGCCGATGACCAGCGTGCTGCGTCGCAGTCTGCACGCCGCTGAAATGTCGCCGCAGCGCGCTCCTCACCGCGCCGCCCTGTCTTCCAAGGTGGCCTCGTTTGTCCTCTTCGTCTCGGCCGTTGGCGTGCTGCCAGAGTGCCGGCTGAAGCGCTGGCTCTACGACAAGGTCTCGCTCATGGCGTTCCGCATGTTGACGCGGAGCTACTCGGGCTGCGTGCGCTTCCACCAGCTGGAGAACCGGCCGCGCGCGCGGGGCGTGTGCGTGGCCAACCACACCTCGCCGATCGACGTCTGTATCCTGAGCTGTGACGTCAGTTACGCTCTGGTCAGTGGGCGGCGGCCGGGTATTCGTCTGTCCCGCGGGCTCCGTGCTGCTGAGCTCTGTCCATGGGGCCTCGTCCGCGTCCATGTTGTGGTCTCCGTCTCGCAATAGGCCCCTCGGCCGTTCCTGTCCCGCAGCGGGCTAATCTGCTGTCCCTGTCTTTAGGCTCCTCGTCAGTCCCTGTGCTGTAGCGGGTTGTTTAGCTGTCCCTGTCTCGTAGCAGGCTTGCGTCCCTGTGCTGTAGCGGGTCATTCAACTGTCCCTGTATTTAGGCTCTTCATCCGTCCCTGTCTGCAGCGGGTTAGTCAACTATTCGTGCCCTGCAGTCCATTCTCCGTCCTTCGTTATCCTATAGTAGTATGTTCGTCTGTCTGTCGTGCAGTGGGCTCTGCATCTGTCCCTGTTCAGCAGTAATCTGTTGGTTGGACCTTTCCGGAAGTCGGCTATTCGTCGGATTTCGCCAGCTTTACGCAGCGGCAGTATTGCGCATCGATCGTCTGGTTCGTTGACAGGAGCTGTGTCCGTCCTTCGTGACGTGCGCGGCTGACAGTGCGGGACCTTCACCGTCAGCCGCGCACGCCACGGACCAGTTAGTAGAGTCGTCCATTTTGCCGGTCGGATTAGGGTCTGGGTGTGCTGTCCACCGTGTCTGGCGGCCTTGGTGGTACAGACCGCGGCACTTCGGGGTGTCCGTAGCGCCGGCTTGCAGTCGGAGGTATGTTGCGCTGCTGTACGCCCGTTCGCGGAGGGTCGCACATGCCCGTCTGTGATACGCTGGCTGGGCGGAACGGCCGGCGCCGGCGGCGATGGCCGGGTGTTCTGCAGCGCCAGCCGACCGTCGACAGGGGCGGTGTCTGGCACGCTTGACAGGTGTGCCGCTCGGACGCCGGCGGCGGCTCGGTCAGCTTGCCTGTCCGCTGGTGACTCGTGGGCGTTCGTCCCTCAGGTCCGCCAAGTGTTCGCTGCAAAAGCGTGACGGTGTTATTGTTGTTGTCATTGGCTCTGTCCAGCGGGCTGCCGACTTGAGCGGCCCTTCGCCGATGGTGACGCGGTCCTGCATGCCATGTGGGAGTGTTGTTGCCGAGGGTGGTCCTATCCCAGGCATCCCGCCTGGGATATGTGGCTGCCTCGTTTGGCGATGCTGGGCTACCGTCGAGGGCTGTGTGGCTATGTGCGTGAGGGAAAGCATGCACGTTTGTCGTTGTCTCGTGTACCGCGGGTCCTGTGTACGGTGCCGCTACCAGGGGCTTTTCCCGCGCGTGTGACCCCGGGGCGTGGCGTCGCCGCTGGTCTGCCGCAGGTGACTTGGATGGTGCTGGCCATGTCGCTGCTGGGCTGCCTGCCGGACAGCACGGCGCGCCGCTGGGCCGCCCAGCGCACCAGCGTCTTCTGCTTCCAGTTCATGTCCAACACGCTGTCGGCCGTCATCACGTACCACAACCCGGAGAACCGGCCGATGCGCGGCATCTGCGTGGCCAACCACACCACGCCGATCGACGTGCTCGTGCTCAACTGTGACCAGGCCTACAGCCTGGTATGTGGCGGCCGCGGCGGCCACGCAGCGCCCACGCTTGGCTTCCCTGGGACCGGCGCTGCACAGGGCTGGCGGCAGCTTGCTTGGCGTGGTAGCGGCGTGTGCTTTGCCTGGCGTTTGTGTGGACGTCCGGGACTGGCAGCATGGGCGTGATCCGAGTTATCTGGCGGCGAGACGCTCCCGTTTGCTGGGAGGGTGAGCTGAAGCGAAGCTCCAAAAGCGCAACTGATTGCATAGTCCTTGATGTGGCGCATTACAGCCGTGGTGCTTGGGCAGCTCATACCATTTCAATTCTCAGTCATGTTAGCTGTAAATTAACTTGAATGCCACATTGGTAACCTGTCCCTGTATCGCCCCCCCCCCCCCCCCCCTCCTGCTCTTAAGTAATCACAAAAGGCATTTGCCAACTCATTGATACAGCCATGGATTGCTGACATCATTTGGCGAAGGTGCCTGGATCCATCAGCTCAGTTTTCGGCATGATCTACTAACAACTGACGACTCTCACATCTGTTAACGTCTCCGTGTTCCGCGCCGCAAAGAGTGTTGGTGTTGCATGCGTGTGACCGATGGTTTTTCAATCATCCTTACTTTTGTATCTCAGGAGATGGTGAGTGGTCATCCGATGCCGGCCCATCGCTGACCCTGGTGATGACCGGACGTCCCGATGACCCGTCTCATAGCGCGGTTGTCTTTAGCCTCTTACGACCTGGGGTGATCTCAAGCCGCACATTTTGCCACTGTCCTCTGTTTTAGAACACAGCACTGTTAAGATAATTTCTGGGGAGTTTCTGGTGGCCTCTGCTGGTCATACCTGTTCGTCTGTTGATGCGGCGGCGCGCGGCTGTGCCCGGGCCGCTGTTGACGCGCTGTGGCGTGTGCCCGGGCCGCTGTTGACGCGCTGTGGCGGTGTGCCTGGGCCGCTGTTGACACGCTGTGGCGTGTGCCCGGGCAGATCGGGCAGCGGCACAGCGGCTTCCTGGGGCTGCTGCAGCGCGCCCTGACGCGGGCCTCGTCACACATCTGGTTCGAGCGCGGCGAGGTCAAGGACAGGTCGGCGGTGACGCGCCGGCTCAAGGAGCACGTCGACGACCCGCACAAGCTTCCCATCCTCATCTTCCCGGAGGGTACCTGCATCAACAACACGTCCGTCATGCAGTTTAAGAAGGGCAGCTTCGAAGTGGGCGGCACCATCTACCCCGTCGCCATACGGGTGAGAACGGACCGGCTGCGGACGGCCCATTGGAGGGAGCGTCGAACGCGGGGTGGTAGAGGATTCGGGAGGCAAGCGTGCTAGCATCAGTGCCAGTACTGCTAAGGCTCGTGCAACTTGATGGCTGCAGTGTCGTGTCTCGTGTCGGCGCTGCTGGGGAGCTGCCGCGATCATGTTGTCGCCCGTACTTTTGAGACCCTCTTCATGCGGCGATCAGTTGGGCATTGGAGGTACGTGGGCCAGGAAGTGGGGTCGGCCGAAGGTCGGAGGGTGGTGAGTCACCTCGGGGTTGGTTGGCGTCCGCGCGCTGATTCTGACCTGGGAGCCGGACGAGGTGACTGGAGCCTGTGTGGCGCTACGCTCGTATTGGCGGACGCAGGCAGGTAAGGTGATTCAGACAGACGCTACAGCGGCTATTCACGTGAAGGGCCAGACGTGTTAGCTGCCGAGTTATTGCTAGACACGGGCATGTCGCTGCATTGCTGTTGGCAACCCGAAACGAGAAAGGGCTTGTGCGGTGTGTGAGTCAAGCGCTGCAGCACTGTAGCAGCTCAGCGTCGCCCGTGGCGTCACACCAGCGCCAGCGGCTCAGTAAAGAAATCCCCGCGCATCAGCACACACGCGGTTATAAAACAGGTCACATCAACACGCATGTAAATTTTGCGTGGTGTGTGATTCACCCCCCTGATTGCGTTTGATCGCATACTCGTCGCGTCCGTGGAGCCACATCCGGTGCATACTGTAGGCACGCAGCACAGCTGAGCCGCACCGAGTTGCCCCTCCCCCCCCCCCCCCCCCCCCCCCCAGTTCAGGTAAAATGTCCTGTGAGGTCGGGAGCGGCTCAAGCCACTACCTGCGGCACGTGCCTGCGCGCCGCGCCGCCGCTGACTGCCAGGCATGCGTTCATGCCTCCCAGCGAGACAAAGCGGGAGACATAGAGGAATGCCCTCCGACACTTGGCTAGAGAGATTGACACCGATACATCACCGCCGCGCCGCTTAGGAAATGATGTATGAACGCTAGTGGCTGTGAGAGCCAAGCTCTGAAACCTTCGCTGTCGTGAGGTCTAATTAACTCACGACACACTCCAATTTAAATTTACGAGATAAGTAACTCAGCGCAGTGTCTGCGGTAATTCGATTCGCTGCGGTGACAGTAGCCGTCGGGAACGCTCTCTTAATAAGAGCAGGAAAAATCCGCCCCGTCGAGTCCTTCGGTGACATTTCTTTGTTCATGGCAATAAGATATTGCGCCATGCCAACGCTTGCAAGTCGTAAATCAGCCTGACTTCTGCGCGTATGAATAATTTAACGGCCGTCGTTATTCAAGCGCACGGTTTTTCGCTTGTTGTTAACAGCAACACAAAACACGTGGCTCACGCATCTGCCGGTCCCGAGCGGATGACTATCAGACGGGGGTGCGGGGGAGGGTCTCGACGGTCGACACGCCGGTCCACCGGGCAAGCCCCGGGGCGTATGGTGGGTGGTATTGACTGAGACCGCTGTAGCCGCTCAGCCATGTGTCGGCCGGCCGGCGCGCCATGTGACGCCGCTCCCGTCTCCACAGTACGACCACCGGTTGCGCCATGTGACGCCCTTCTCGTCTCCACAGTACGACCACCGGTTCGGCCATGTGACGCCCCTCCCGTCTCCACATTACGGCCACCGGTTGGGCCATGTGACGCCGCTCCCGTCTCCGCAGTACGACCACCGGTTCGGCCATGTGACGCCCTTCTCGTCTCCACAGTACGACCACCGGTTCGGCCATGTGACTCCCCTCCCGTCTCCACATTACGGCCACCGGTTGGGCCATGTGACGCCCTTCTCGTCTCCACAGTACGACCACCGGTTCGGCCATGTGACGCCCCTCCCGTCTCCACATTACGGCCACCGGTTCGGCCATGTGACGCCGCTCCCGTCTCCACAGTACGACCACCGGTTCGGCCATGTGACGCCCTTCTCGTCTCCACAGCACGGCCACCGGTTCGGCCATGTGACTCCCCTCCCGTCTCCACAGTACGACCACCGGTTCGGCCATGTGACGCCGCTCCCGTCTCCACAATACGGCCACCGGTTCGGCCATGTGACGCCCTTCTCCTCTCTACAGTACAACCCCCGGTTCGGCCATGTGACGTCGCTCCCGTCTCCACAGTACGACCACCGGTTCGACCATGTGACGCCCTTCTCGTCTCTACAGTACGACCACCGGTTCGGCCATTTGACGCCCCTCCCGTCCCCACAATACGGCCACCGGTTCGGCCATGTGACGTCCTCGTCTCCACAGTGCGACCCCCGGTTCGGCCATGTGACGTCGCTCCCGTCTCCACAGTACGACCACCGGTTCGGCGATGCCTTCTGGGACAGCAGCCAGTACAGCATGCTGCACTACCTGTACATGATGATGACGTCGTGGGCGATCGTGTGCGACGTCTGGTACCTGCCGCCAACCTCGCGTCAGCCCAGCGAGACGGCCATCGACTTCGCCAACCGCGTCAAGGCGTCCATCGCCAGCGCCGGTGGACTCGTCGATCTCATGTGGTTAGTGCCTTCCCGCCGGTCTTCTATGTCTTCTACTGCTGTCCTGTTTGCCACACAGTTTCGTTGTTTGCGCTGCGGCACTGGGTGGAAACCGTGACAGGTCAATGCCCGGGGGAGAGGGCAGGGTCGAAACCGGACCTCACGACGCAAGATGCGGCGGGGCTCTGTCCTGTCCGCTGGCCACGACCCTGTGCTATCTGTGTATCCTCTTAAAACTACGGTCATGAGGTCTTCACCATACAGCGCTACGTCCGCCCCACTTCCGCCGCTGGTTGTGCCACGAGGTGTCAGTGTGACCCTGATGAAGGGTTGGGGCACCGCTGCCTGCGCTGACTCCGTGTTACACGTCCGTGTAATGAAGTGCCGGGGCTGGCTCCGTGTTACACGCTCGTATGATGAAATGCCGCGGCGCCGCCGCCGGCGCTGGCTCCGTGTTACACGCTCGTGTGACGTCACCCTGTGGGGCGCCCGGCGGCGCCCTGAGACGGGCCCCCTGTGTGTGGCTGTAATCGGGCCGTGTGGCGCCGCTAGGCGAGCGACGTGTCCAGTGCGGGCGGCGGGCCTGCGCGCGCCGGAGCTGTGACTCCTAGCGCCCCCTCGCCACAGGGACGGGCAGCTGAAGCGGATGTCGGTGAAGAAGGAGTGGCGGGAGAAGCAGCAGCAGCACTTCACGCGCCGCATGCTCGCCATCAACCAGCAGCTGCGCGACGAGCAGCGCGAGAAGGACGAGTGAGCGGCGGTGCTGGCGGCGGCCCGGCTCCGGCCGGGGGCGTGTCTTTCCAGTCAGCGAAGCCGGCAGCCGTTCTCCTTCAATCGACGTACGCGCTGCCACCGGACCGCTGCGGCCACTCGTGCGCTGTGGTCTGAACCGAGCGGAGTCGACGACTGAGCCGCGTCTGATGCGCCGGCCGACATTCCGGGGAGCCCCCGGCCCGTCGCGAAGTAGCGCTCGTCTCACAGGTTGTCACGAGTGTCGAGGCGAGACGGCAGGGTGCGAGGCGTCCGGGACCCCGATGGCCAGACTGATGCCGTTGTGGCGGAGCTGTGCTGTGACAACCGTGCGGCGGTGCACGGTTACGACGTCGCAACGGAGGACAGCCTCGCGTTAGCGACTTGGTGTCCAACTGGTTAGTGACGTCGCTTGTAGCTGTTCCAGTATGAGAGCCACGTGTATGAGTGACGCTGGTCGTCCCAGTCTGGCGTTTGTGCGGCTGACGGGATGCCTCCAGTCCAAAACAAACTTGTGTGCCTGCGATGGTAGCTGCTCTTGTTTGAGAGCATGGGTGACAATGTGACGGCAGGACTGTGTCAGTCTGACAGCGGTGGTTGACAGTGCGACGATAGCTGCGTGTGACTATGTGACGTCCGAAGGTGGCTACTCGATGGGGTCAGTTGAAAATAGCGTGACGAAGAGCGTGACTGTCCTCTTGCGAAAGAAGACTTGGCGGCGTCCACTCGCAGAGCTCGGCGGTGCCGTGGACGCCACCGCAGTGTCATCGGATGGCATGGAAGCGGGCGATGGCGGGCACTGCCGACCCGGGGGGCCTGTGTTGGGCAGCTGCGAACGCGAGTGAACCCGTGCTCTCCCCGCTCGCGGCGGTGTGGCCCTGGTCGAGCGACCCCGCCTTGGAACGCGAGCTTGGAACGCGAGTGAGCCTGCGCCCTCCCCGCACGCGGCCGTGTGGGCCTGGTCGGGCGACCCCACCAGCTGGGCTTCGAACGCGAGTGAACCCGCGCCCTGCTCGCACGCGGCCGTGCGGACATGGTGGAGCCGCCTCATCAACTGAGCTGCGCGTGCGGCAGCGGCGCGGGTCGCGCTGCCCGTTAGGATCGTTTTTGTGCTTCGAGAGACTATTTTTGCGCACTAAATCGTATGCAACTATTTGGTAATGCCCTTGTTCGTGAGCCTACCAGCGGGCTTCGACAGTTATCATGGGAGATCGCAACAAAAGGGCGGAATTAGCGATAGGTTGCTTTAACACTTGACCCAAGATTTTCGGTTGATTATTTATGGGGTGTGCCTACTTTGTTGGTGTTGTTTGTGTTTCAGACTGTCAGGCTTTCGAACAGTTACTCAGTTTTTGTTTCAAAGTTGTAGGAAGTTCGAAAAGCCTTCATTGAGATCTTTTGTTTGTTGATAAGACCTGTTTCATAAAGCGGAGCATTATTATCTGTTCGTTACGTATTCCCCGTTAGATATTATTGCATCTAATTTGTGCTCGATTGAAACCGCAGCGTGTATCATGTGTCGTGTTCCAGTGCTTCCATGCCAGGTTGTCTAGTCTTGGGTTCTTGCCGCGCCGTGTTCGCACAACCCTGCTGTCGAGGGGCTCGCCACGCGTGACCGTGGCGTCGATGAGCATCGCCGCCGCCGCCGTCGGGTGCGGCAGGTCTGCACTGTGGTGGGACAGGTTTGGATTGGGACGGGACAGGTTTGGACTGTGGTTTAACACATCTCGGCTGTGACGAGACAAGTCTGCACGGTGACTGCGCATCTGGACTGTGACGGGACAGTTCTGCACCGTCACGATACGGATCTGCACTGTGACGGGACAGGTCTACACTATGATGGACACATCTGGGCTGTGACGGACAGGTCTTGACTGTGCCAGACAAATGCAGACTGTGACGAGACAGATCTGGGATGTAACTGACAGACCTGGACTGTGACGAGCGGGTCTAGACTGACACGACAGGTATGGACTGACAGGGCACCTGAACTGTGACGGGACAGATCTAGATTGTGGCGTCTGTGACGGTGTGGGGTAGAAGTGCACCGCGACGAGCAGGCCTGGGCCGTCGCGAGACGGACCTGGACTAAGCCCGCACAGATCTGGACTGTGACAAGACAGGCCTGTACATTTACGAGACATGTCGGGACTTTGACGAATGGTCTAAACTGGCGGGACAGATATGGATTGTGACGAGGCGGAATAACTAGCCTGTGACTGTCTATTGCGACTGTCTGGGCAGCCACGATCAGAACCAATACATGGTATCGTATGGGCGTCTTCGTCTTTGAAGTGTATTGCGAGGAAGTGGGGAAAAGACAAAGACCCGAAAAAACCGGGGCTAACGGAAACGGTAAGTTCTTCAACTCGAGCAACATTCTGCAGACAGCAGAATGTCGCGCGCTTACTTATGCCATTTTACGCTTAATTTTCGGTAAATCGCGCGATGATCCCACTGGTTGATATCACGATATCAATTACGTTAGCACCCGGTAGTTTACGGAGATGGATGGTCCAATGAAAGTTCATACAACCTCTAGAGCTTCAGTGGTTCTCGTCCCGGGTCAGGACCGGGCCCACCCCATGGACTACCATTTCCGAGTCAGGGCCGGGTCCACCCCATGGACTACCATCTCCGGGTCAGGACCGGGCCCACCCCATGGACTACCATCTCCGAGTCAGGACCGGGCCCACCCCATGGACTACCATCTCCGAGTCAGGACCGGGCCCACCCCATGGACTACCATTTCCGAGTCAGGGCCGGGTCCACCCCATGGACTACCATCTCCGAGTCAGGGCCGGGTCCACCCCATGGACTACCATCTCCGGGTCAGGACCGGGTCCACCCCATGGACTACCATATCCGGGCCAGGACCGGGTCCACCCTTGGACTACCATATCCGGGCCAGGACCGGGTCCACCCTTGGACTACCATCTCCGGGTCAGGACCGGGTCCACCCTTTGGACTACCATCTCCGAGTCAGGACCGGGTCCACTCTTTAGACTACCATCTCCGAGTCAGGACCGGGTCCACCCTTTGGACTACCATCTCCGAGTCGGGACCGGGTCCACCCTTTGGACTACCATCTCCGGGTCAGGACCGGGTTCACTCCTTGGCTCTGCCGGATTCCAGACAAGAGCTAGTCGGGGAGTGGTTAGTATGGGCAGTGCTTTGACGGACACATGTTCGCCCAGGGTTCGTAAAGGAGAACAACCCTTATCGGGAAAATGATGCATAGCAGAAATTCGTTTGAGACAAAAGTGGTCACGGTCGAAGTTTCCTCTCGCGTGAGACCTTGTACGGCAGAAGTTTATGAGCAAGTGCGTATTGGACAAAGGCGCGTGCAGAGCAAGAGTTCTTATCGCATAAGTCGGCATCCGGAGACAGAGATGTGCTCGGTTCAATCGAGTGACACCAATACCAGCACAGAGCACTCTGAATGCACTCCGATTCGGAATATAGCATGAGTTCCATTCCACATGCCATGTTCAAACCGATCCAATAGCCAAACTTCGTGAATTTTAACACATGACTGTAATGAACAGTATCGATGCTGGAATTAGAATTGCATATGCTTGACTCATCATTAGCCTTTTTGCCATTGCAATGTTATTGGCTGTGTTTCCCACTTTTGGGTACGTATAACACATTCATAATATTCCTGTTTCTTAAGCTTTGCGAATTCTGCGGAATTCAGCGCAATTTTGGAGAAGATAATCACCGTGTGCGTGGTTAGGTGGTAAATTTCATGTTTTTCGCGTTTTTTTTTGGCGTGTGTGCTCCCGTCATCCACAGAAAGGCCTTGTCATCTGCAAGCGACAAACCTTCCCAGCTCCTCAGTCAGTACGCTTACCACGATTTAATGAGATCTCAGATTTTTAATCCGTTTTGCTAATATTTGGTTAAGTACGTATGCATACCACCTGCAGTACGGCTTGCCAGGCAGACGCGTATCCCACAAACTACTGTCATACCATTTCGTTACCTACTTCTCCATCCTTTTTGTCCGACGGGGAAGAGGTGTGTGTGTGTGCCATTGGGGCTTTACGACGCACTCAGCTGCCGAGGCTATGTGGCGGCGCCTGCCTCCCAACCTGGCAGGAAGGGCGGGCACCGCAGGGAATCGAACCCCGCACCTCTGGTTTCCCAGGCGCCCAGTGGTTAACACAGACGCGTTAACGCAGACGCGTTAACCACTACACTTCCGGCACCCTACGGGGAAGAGGTTAAAAGGGAGGCGTTCATGTTGTCCAAGGTACAGAATGTCCAAAGGTACAGAATGTCCAACGTACGTACTGTCCAAGGTACAGAATGTCCAAGAACCGGAGCTTTCAAAGTAGTTCTCGGAGCGGCCGCCAGGGTGTGAATAATCGCCCTTATCGGTAGGCAACGTTGGTCCGCCCAGCGTCGGCCGCGCGCATACAGTCGACGCCAGTGCGAACACTACAAGCATGCGGTCGGTGGGCCGCATAGCAACGTATTCATTTCTCACGCCGGTGTAGAGATGGCGTCGGATGCTGTGAGTCGGCGAGGCCGCGCTCGACTTGCAAGTGATCGTTGAATACGAGACGAATACCGTGAAGCGGGGCGTTGGACACGCGCGGAGCTGCTGTGAAAGCGTCGCAACGTTGCCCTTAGCCGGCGTGGAACTTGTTCTGTGTCTGACCGGGAACGTGTTCGCTGTATCGTCATAGCTATATACAACTAGAACCTCTTGTTGCAACTGTTGTTTATTCTAAGTGATCGCTGTCACGTTTTCACCACAATTAATTCGCCACAACAGCGTCCAAAGGAGTAAACCTTGCAAGAAAGGGGAAAGTATGGGTATCAATAATGCATGCTTCCTATCGGGTTAATAGCCCGTTTCTGATCAGTTATCACCGAGATCTGAGGTCAAAGGTGCAGCATATTACAAAGCACGCTACATTACAAATCATAGGATATAGTTCAACGAACAACCATTTGTGGTCAAGATACTGCACATGATATAATTTAGAACAATTAACTGGTGCATCAAGACATCGGCGGAGATGTGGTGATTTTCCATTGATGTGGATTCCCCACATCAATTGGTTGGGTCTGGCAGGGGCGGTGCTAGGAGATATCAGTTGAGGAAAGGCTCTTCCAGGGAGCTTCCTGAACAACCAGACGGGGAGGGGGGGGGGGCTTTCAGGCCCGGTCCTTTTAAAGCGGGCACCGAGGCATGTGACATGTGAGTCACCATTGAACTGGACCGTGCATTTATGTTCATGTAAATCAATGTCGACAAGAAAAATCCAGAATAGGGGAGTGTGTAACTTAAACTGTGTTAAAGTCTAGTTTCAGCGCGTAAATGTGACACCGGTTAAGTCGTGAACTAGTAACCCTGCATGGGGGCCAAACGCATAAAAATACATTTAAGTTGTCAAAACATGGCTGTTGTTCTCTACGGCTGCCCATTCACTCCCCGAGCCGGTAACTCATAAAGCAACAAAGCAGTTTCGCCGCTAACGAAGCAGCAACGGTGAGCTTGTCTCCCGAGCTGGGAAAGATGAGGGTCAGAAAAACTATGTTCAAGGGCTAACTATGAACTATGTTCCGGGCAAGGGCCCGGAAGATCTATACGTGGAATACCCACACTCGGATTGCCCACGCTCAGGGGACTTCGGAAGAACCTTCTACTCCCCCAGCTGAGACTCTAAAAGGAAATGGGGCAAATAGCGAATGTGGACCGCTGAGGGTGAATAACGGGGGGACTCAAACCTACCACACTGTCACATGGGGCTGGGCAGCACGCACTAACTGATTGAGCTACGGCGGCGTTTCTGCTACTAAAAGCCCCATCAGTCCAAGAGGAGGCACTTATTAACAAGTCATGAGATCCCGCCAGGCTGAGAGGTGGTTGTGCTTAGTTTCATATATCTAGGAAGTTAGTTTGTAAAGTGGGGGAAATCTGATGACAATTTCAGTTTTTTAGATATGCTCGCCCTACAAGGGAAGTCGGTGACACTGCCTCTGTTCATCGCACGAGGGCAAACCCCAAAATCCATCACTCGTTAAAAGAAAAAGGCAACGCTTACACGTGTGGCAACCGTTAATGTTTCCAACAGTACTGTTACGCACACACACACACGCGCGCGCGCACGCATGCACGCACGTACGCACGCACGCACGCACGCATGCACGATTTTTCTCACAATTATGAAATCTGTGCCAAATACACAGGTACTTCAGTACACCGGGAGACACTTGGGTACGCCAAGATTCTACGCCAATAGTTCCAATATATTATGATAATTCAACAGTTCCAGTTACTACACGTGGTCACCTGTGAATAAGTTAACGCAAAACGCGCAACTCAAAAGGTTTGTGAGCCACCGCAACTGTTGCAAATATGTGCAGATCCTGACAAGAAAAAGTATTTTAAACATCAAGCATGCAAGCTTCCATATCCTAATGTTAGGCACACGGCACTATGATAACGCTTGCACGAGACATCGATGGCTAGGCCGATAGGTTTTGATGAACTGTATCACAGACCAGTAGCCTTTCTCACAAAGAGTTGTTACAAACAGTTTGTATTTGTAAGTTGTAATTTAGAATGTACAAACTACAACTTCCAACTGTTTCATAAAATTAGGGAAGGTTGTAGAATTCTAGTTGTAAAATTCTGCGCCGTGTGTAATTTCTCAACGCCAATCACCGGCCTTGCCAAGGACGTAAAAAAGTACGCCTGACCGTCTTTTTAGCATCCCATACGCCCAACGCTGACGTGACGTCACTGGAGTCTTGCCACAGCGAGAGCAGCGCGCAACCCCGCACGATGCATATTGCGATCTGGATATTTGCGTTTCCGTTGGTTACAGCTGCACTGCATGCCAAATTTGCTGGGAAAGCCACCCTTTCTTTCTTCCGTCCCTAAAAATAGGTTGCGTTATCAAACGATTATTTCAGCGTAAATTCCGTAAACCTAACCTAAATTACATCGCCCATACTGAGTGGGACGTTGGCGTCAATGCATAGTCAGGCTCACGCAGTCGGGCTCGCCGTTCTCGCTGTCCCCGCTCCTTCCAGCGCCGGTTTCTGTGTCACCCATGTGCACGTGCCCAGGGTCGCACTCAGAATCCTGGTGGAGCACGAGTGACAGGGCTTTATGGAAGGCCCCTAGTTAAATTTCTTAAGTTTTGAGCGCACCTCAAATTTTCCGTTTCTTTCGTTTCTGTTTGTATCCACTTATTCCGACGGGCGTGTTCATGAAGGGGCCATGGAATGGACACTGACAACACATACTTGTTT